TTTCTTTAAATTTTATTTTCCTTTAGGTGTATACTATATCCAGCATTTCTCCCCATGTTATCCCTCCCCTACCCATCCTCAACTGCCCCCAGTGTGTGATGCTCCTCTCCCCGAGTCCATGGGTTCTCATTGTTCAACACCCACCTAAATGCTTTCTTAATCTTAGGATGTCTGGAGCCAGGATTGTCGTTCATTTGGCTCATGCCTTGAAGAAAGGAGAATACGGTCTTGCCAGTATTTGCAACGGAGGAGGTGGTGCTTCTGCTATGCTAATTCAGAAACTGTAGACAACCTTGGCTGAGACAACTCTATGTGACCAGAAGGCCTGCCATAATCAGTGTGACTACTTTCAGTCAGCTTATATTCAGACTGTTCCATTTTTTATTATTTTCTGTTAACTTTTAAAATGATGAAATCATAAAACCTTTTGAAATTAAAATTTTTTCTGTTTTGGGTAATCTTTAAATGTTTGATATATTTTTGCATTCTGAATCTATATTTTTATAGAAAAATAGTACAAATACCAGTGTGTAATAGTGACTAACATAAGTTTCTGGAAGCTTCCATGTTTGAGAAATTTATATTTTTGAGGATTGTTAAAGGTCAAGTGCATGCTCTCTAGGTAATTTACTTCTCTTTACAGTAAGAGCTGGCTATTCTGGACAAACTAGCAGTGCTTCATATAATCACTCAAGAAACCAGTGTGCAGTAGTGCTAGAGACGAGAGAGAGAGAGGCCCATGTGCTTGGGGTCTAGAGTGGGGGCAATTTCTTACAAGCTCCAAATTCAGGGGTGGGGGAGGTCAAGCAGAAAACCCTGCAGTTTGGGCTCTGAATTACTACAGCAGCTTGGAGCACGGGAAAGGAGGTAGAAACTGACAGGCCGAATGGGTTTAGGGAGCAGCTCCACACTTCCACTATACCGCAATGCCTGTTCTTAAGCAGGGCAGACTGTAGCACAAGAATCTTGCACTGCATTTATTTGGGAAAAAATTTAGAGCACTACAGGCAGGGTCTACGTTTACTACCCTCAACTGTAGCTCTAAAAAGGGAGAACTCCCCCTAGGAAGGGGAGGGGCAGTAAAGGTCATCATGTACACGTTACCTTTGGCCAATGTACTGTAGATCCTTTGAAGGACCAAAAACACAGTATATGGGAAAAATCAATTGCTCAGGCTTTTATGATTCAGAGGAGGAGTATTTTCAAAAACATCTGTAATGATCACCAACTTTTGAGGTTCATCATGTGTTAGCACAAAGCCTTCTTATATGTATTAACTCATTTAATCATCACAAAAATTTCTAAGAATAGGTATAATATCCCTAATTTATAAATAAGGAAATTGAGGCACAGAGTACCTAAATAAATTCCAAGGGCAAAAAGCTGGTAAGTAGCTGGCTAAGGTTCAACTCCAAGTCAGTGTAGCTCCAGAGTCCACGTTCTTAACTTACTATGCTTTAGTTAGTTACCTTTCAATAATGATCTGCCCCAACGTAGGAGAACTTATAACCGAAACAGGCGCTGGGTAAGATATAGGAGAAACGGAAACCTAAAACATAAGAATACTTCAATGAAGATAAGCAGAAACTAACATTGCATCCAAAGGTCATTGATCTGTAAAACATCTGAGAAGTGCTCTGAAAATTCTGGGAAAACGTGGAGAGAAAATAGAGAACCACCAAGTAAGTATGGTTTTCTTTGGTCTATTTTAAAGACACAAGGTAATTGGTCTGTCATCTAGGCTGGATGGAGTACAGTGGCATGCCCACAGCTCACTGTAACTCTGAACTCCTGGGTTCTCAAGTGATCCTCCTGCCTCGGCCTCCTGAGTAGTTAGGATTATAGGCAGATGTTACCATGTCCAGGTTAAATGGTGTTTCTCAAAAAAGAAATGGTACTCTGGGCCGGCTGCAGTGGCTCACGCTTGTAATCCCAGCACTTTGGGAGGCCGAAGCAGGCAGATCACAAGGTCAGGAGATTGAGACCATCCTGGCTAACAAAGCAAAACCCCATCTCTACTAAAAATACAAAAAATCAGCCAGGCGTGGTGGCAAGTGCCGGCTGTCCCAGCTACTCAGGAGGCTGAGGCAGGAGAATCGCTTAACTCGGGAGGCAGAGGTTGCAGCGAGCTGAGATCATGCCACTGCACTCTAGCCTGGGAGACAGAGTGAAACTCCATCCCCAAAAAAAAAAAAAAAAAGGCCAACCAACTCTGAAGCAATAATCTAATAGAAAGATAATAGAAAAACTCAGGTTTTTAAGTCATAAAGGAGAAGATTCTAAAGGGCATATTTTTCTTTTTTTTTTTGAGACAGAGTCTCGCTCTGTAACTCAGGCTGGCACAATCTTGGCTTACTGCAACCTCTACCTCCCGGGTTCAAGTGATTCTTGTGCCTTTGACTCCTGAGTATACAGGTATGCACCACCACACCAGCTAATTTTTATATTTTCAGTAGAAACAAGAGTTTTGCCATGTAGGTCAGGCTGGTCTCGACCTCAGGTGATCCTTCTGCCTCAGCCTCCCAAAGTGCCAGGATTCCAGGTGTGAGCCACTGTGCCCGGCCCTAAAAAGCATATTTTATTGGCAAAATTAATAGAAAATCATACTAAGACATTCTGGAGAAAATGTATTTAAAAAATTCCTCTAACATCTAAAAATAGGTAACCAGAGTTCTTATTTCTATTACATTCAATCCCCAAAAAACAAGTGACCAATATCTACCTATTTTTAATGGAACAAAATAAGATACTAGAATGTGTGTCTCAAAACGCAAAAGAGTTTAGCAAATAAAGTACTCTGATGTTTCTTCCTAAAATGACAAAGTTAAGGAAGCCTATGGAGTGAAGAATTAAGAATTCAGTTATGTGAAAGCTTTAAATTTTTAAAATGACTGTTTAAGGACTGGCTGGGGAAGGAGGAAAGGCAATGGTTGATGAAAATATTTTACCTCAAAATACATTTATTAGACATATTTTCAGATGGCTGTCAGAGGGCCAGGAAACAGAAGTGGCCCTACAAACCTGTCTTTTGTGGAAAGCATTTGCATTTTTTTTTTTTTTTTTTTAGACAGAGTTTTGCTCTTGTTGCCCAGGCTGGAGTACAATGGCGCGATCTTGGCTCACCACAACCTCTGCCTCCTGGGTTCAAGTGATTCTCCTGCCTCAGCCTCCCGATTAGCTGGGATTACAGGCATGCACCACCACACCCGGCTAATAGAAATTTGCATCTATGAGAATGTCAATTAATGCAGCCAGGACTTCCCTTGTCTGGAATCTAGAAAAGGTTAAAGGAGAGCCTGTCTGACTTTAAAGGTCTTAAACATTTAACATCCATCGTCTCAGAAAGCTACTATCTGTGAGGTTTTGGCTACATAACAAGACCGCCTTTCCCAGCCAGGTCTCCTCTCCCTCTCCATAAACTGTCTTGCCACTAAAACCTGATTTACCAAAATAACATGTTTTTGGCCATGCTTGGAGCTCACATTCCTTCTGTAACCTGAAGAGGGTATGAAGTTTCTATACTCAGGTGCGGTGGCTCACGCCTGTAATTCCAGCACTGTGGGAGGCCAAGATGGATGGATCACTTGAGGTCAGGAGTTGGAGGGCAGTCTGGTCACATGATGAAACCCTGTCTGTACTAAAAGTGCAAAAATTAGCCAGGTGTGGTAGCACATGCCTGTAGTCCCAGATACTCGGGAGGCTGAGGTGGGAATCGTTTCAACAGGGGTTGCAGTGAGCTGAGATCATGCCATTGCACTCCCGCCTGGGCGACAGACCAAGAGTCCGTCTCAAAAA